GGCTTGGGGGACGGGGAGCCGCAGCAGCTCCCCCTCCCCCACTGCCATAAAACATTAAGAAAATCATATTGCTTCTTCTCCTATGTGTAAGGTGAACCACGTCAGCAAAAAGCAAAATCATTTTATATGTCAAAGCAGGGGAGTATGCAAAAGTTCTGACTTGACTTTAGTCTGCAAAATGAGGAATGTATATGTTTTGTGGGAACAGATGTTTCTTTTGTATGTAAATGTGCATTCTTTTAAAAGACAAGACTTCAGTATGTTATCAAAGAGAGGGCTTTAATTTTTTTAACCAAAGGTGAAGGAATATATGGCAGAGTTGTAAATATATAAATATATATATATATAAAATAAATATATATAAACCTAAAAAAGATATATTAAAAATATAAAACTGCGTCAAAGGCTCGATTTTGTATCTGCAGGCAGACACGGATCTGAGAATCTTTATTGAGAAAGAGCACTTAAGAGAATATTTTAAGTATTGCATCTGTATAAGTAAGAAAATATTTTGTCTAAAATGCCTCAGTGTATTTGTATTTTTTTGCAAGTGAAGGTTTACAATTTACAAAGTGTGTATTAAAAAAAAAAACAAAAAGAACAAAAAAATCTGCAGAAGGAAAAACGTGTAATTTTGTTCTAGTTTTCAGTTTGTATATACCCGTACAACGTGTCCTCACGGTGCCTTTTTTCACGGAAGTGTTCAATGACGGGCGAGCGTGTGCCATCCCGTTTTGAAGTGTAGGCAGACACAGGGACTTGAAGTTGTTACTAACTAAACTCTCTTTGGGAATGTGTGTCTCATCCCATTCTGCGTCATGCTTGTGTTGTTACTACTCCGGAGACAGGGTTTGGCTGTGTCTAAACTGCATCACCGCGTTGTAAAATATAGCTGTACAAATATCAGAATAAAATGCTGAAAAGTCAAGCGGGCTTGGTCTGGAGGGCTTTTCTTGCGTTGGAATGGGGCCTGGCCTGGGTCTTGCTCCCTCAGCTCCTAACCTGGTGGAAAATGCTCTTGGAGGGGAGGGGCTGCTGGCTGCTGCATTCTCAAAAAGGAGCATCATTTGAGATGAGGCTAGGTTCCCGACACCTTGGCATGAACGCACATTTGGATCCCAGCACCAGGAGAGACTGTGGACTCCAGGCCCTTTCTGAAGAGCTCAGGTGGGAGATTTTGGAAGGATCTCCCACTCAGCTCTAGGCTAAGCATTTTGTTTGTTTGTTTGTTTGAGAGAGAGTCCGCTTTGTCTCCTAGTCTGGAGTGCAGTGGTGCAATCTCAGCTCACTGCAACCTCCACCTCCTGGGTTCCAGTGATTTTCCTGCCTCAGCCTTCCGAGTAACCAGGATTACAGGTACGCACTACCATGCCCAGCTCATTTTTTGTACTTTTAATACAGATGGCGTTTTGCCATGTTGGCCAGGCTGGTCTCGAACTCCTGACCTCAGGTGATCTGCCCACCTCAGCCTCCCAAAGTGCTGGGATTACAGGTGTGAGCCACCATGCCCGGCCTAGGCTAAGTATTTAATGACTTCCCTGCTAGCTTTGCTGACATAGGCATCTCTTCTTCCTCTGGCCCTCAGTTTGCCCAGTCTTGGAAGTGAGAAGGCCCATCTTGCTTCCTGGCTTCACAAACAATTTCTCTCCACTCAGCTCATGGGGCAATATGAAGGCATGTGGCTCCAGACATGTATTTCTCAGCCTGAGTGCATGTGGGCTTTTTGGTGTCTGCTGGGTGATTGGCAGACATCTGCAGACTCAGAAGCTTTATGAATGGTTAGTAGCCAAGCAAACCTCTATCCCTGCAGAGGTGCTCTGTCCCAAGAGCCCTGTGGTAGAACTCAGCCACCTCCTCCAGTGTGACTTGGGACAAGTACTTTCCCTCTGGGTCCCCCTTCCAACCTGTCCATGAGAGTGAACTACACCATTTATGATTCCCTGATTCAGATGCAAGTTCACCTAGCTTGCTTTGGCACCTAGTTTTATTTTACCTCAAAAAACCCCAAGGATCAAGTTTGACCTGAGAATAGTGAGGACAAGTGTGGTTCTGGTCACTGGCCCAGAGCAGAAGCCTGCACACCCCCCTTCCTGTTCCTGGGTGGCAGTGGAGAGGGCATGTGGAGTTGAGCCTGTCCCCAGGGCCGTGGGCCCACTTGTTGGGCAGTCGTGTCCCTTGGCAATGCCTTTGCAGCAGGCTCCGAGCACGTGCTGGGAAGCTATGGGAGCTGACCACGCAGCGCCCCACAGAGAGCCTCAGAAAGGCACAGCACCCTCTGCCAGCTGCATGGCCTTTCAGCTCAGGTTTCCTTTGAAAATGACTTTAAAGGACTTGCCAGCTCGAGGCCTCAACTCACCCTGCTCTTTGAAAAGGGAGAAAATGATCCCTCTGCTCCCATAGAAACTTGGCAGAAGAACTTACAAAACAGACAGCTTCAGGAATGACAATTCACAGGCCTAAGGGAAGCTGGCCCCACGGTCCCTTTGCTCCCAGAGTACCTCCAAGTTTGTTTGCATTTCATTACTGTTTAATAGAGAGATGGAGGGGCGAGGGCAGATAGCGTGGGTGGCCATTTAAACAAAAGGGAAGATCAAAGAGTGAGTGACTGGAGCCAATTCACAATCAATAATAACTAAAAAGAAAAGTCTCTGAGCAGATAAGCCAGGGCAAAGGGAATATAAAATGTTTACTAAAAAGCGTGATGTAAATGCAACTTTTCACCAATACATGGAATATGTGTGATGTTCTACACTGTGGGATTTTTAGAGGATGGGTTTCTGAGGACCAGGGTGATGAGGATGTGTAAGGGGTAATCCCAGAGAAGCAGGGTGATTAGAACTATGCAGAGCTATTTAGGAGTTGGAAGGGATGGGGTGGTACTATCACCTAGCTCGGATCTTGCATCTGACCCATGAAAACATTGAGGCAGGAGGCGTGAAGGCACTTTCCTACTGCCACCCAGAGCCTGGGGTGGGGAGTGGAGAACAGGCTCCTGCCCCTTACACAACCCTAAGGGAAGGACAACCAGAGGCCAATGCTCCATTTTACTTTTTAATATTTATTTATTTATTATTATTTTATTTTTCTTAGAGATGGAGTCTTGCTCTGTCACTCAGGCTGGGGGGCAATGGCATGATCATAGCTCACTTGAACTCCTGAGCTCAAGCAATACTCCTGCCTCAGCCTCCAGAGTAGCTGGGACTACAGGGGCACGCCACCATGCCTGGTTACACGTGTTCTGTTTTAAATATGGGGAAATGGAGGCAGGAACTAGTCCGAGGTCACACAGCTGAAAGTGTCCAGGTAGGCTGAGTTCACATGATGGTTGTCAGTAGAACTTTAATTGGTTCAATTCAATCGTTAGGCCTCAAGCTTCTTGCAGAAATGAGCTATTCCCTTTGGAATCTGGGTTTCTATTTTCTCTCTCTGTCTCACTCATAGTAATAATTAATAATAAGTTTGGTCGCAGGGGCTTACCCCTGTAATCCCAGCACTTTGGAAGGTCGAGGCAGGCAGATCACTCGAGGTCAGAAGTTCGAGACCAGCATGGCCAACATGGTGAAACGCCGTCTCTACTAAGAATACAACAATTAGCCAGGCGTAGTAGTGCAAGCCTGTAATCCCAGCTACTAGGGAGGCTGAGGCAGGAGAATAGCTTGAACCCAGGGGGTGGAGTTTGCAATGAGCCAAGATTGTGCCACTGCACCCCAGTCTGGGCGACAGAGTGAGATGCTGTCTCAAAAAAATTTAATAATAATAATAAGCTGTCTTGTGTTCTACCAGAGACATACATTGGTAAGCACTAAGAGAATTAGAATGAGGAAGAGAAGCAGAGAAAAGCTGAACCCTGAAGAGTACTTGGGGCCTCATTAACGGCAGAGTTTCAGAACCAGGATGACCTTTCAGAATCTAGTTTTATGAAGCTTATAATTGTGTGGGGGTTTCTAGTCTTAGATTTCTAGGATAATCTATCCCTCTTATAACCACTTTATAGTGGGGTCACTGCCTCCATTTCTACACCACTGCCATTACTTGGACTGGCCTGTATGAGCCTATTCCCTGGAACCAAAAGAGCATAATTTACACACAGATAGCCACACTTCTGGGGTGTTTGTCATTAGAAGGACCCTTACACTTCTTTGACTAGGTCCAAGCTTCTCTATAGTGGAGGCCAAGGCATGCTGTAATCCCTCCAAGGTAGGAAACAAGATGTCATTTGCCCAAAATACTGTACCCAGTTGGAAAGGCAATGTTCCTCCCCCACCCAGAGCAGAGACAGGAGGCTTCCAAAGGGTACACAGAAGCCCAGCCCTACCGTGGGCATGCTCCCCATTACATGACCTACAGCATCCAGAGCCTGCCTCCAGAGAAGAGAAAGCTTCAGCATTCACTAAGAAAGTGACCTTCTCTCGTTCTCTATGACTCATGGGAGAAAAAAAGAAAAAAATAATAACATAAAAAAGTGGCCTTCCAGAAAGACAGATGCCCAGGCAGGAGGACTTTGGAGTCTAGGAAAGGGACCTAGTGGGGTTTACAGCTCCTGAGTACTATACTGCTCCCAAACCTTTGGGGTCTAGCCCCTTTTTAAATGAGGCTGATTCATTTAACCCCAGATGACAGCTGCTCAACATATCTAAGAGATGAGTTTCCTGGGTCTTTCTTTCCCTTTAGGACCCCAAGAAGGCAGGCTGGGTATGTAAATACATATGGAGTTGGGATCACAGAATATTGTAACTGGAGAGAGCTCAGTGATAATAATTTCTTCCATAGGCAAGGAAACCAGGCCTGAAAGGAAAGGTGACATGCTTGAGGTCACACCAAGAATTCTTATCAAACATCACCTGACTCCCAGTGAGGTTTGTAATGTGGTTCCAGCCCTTAAAAGGTTTGTAGTCAAAATCACAAAACAAACCATGGACATATATGGAAGGAAAATTACAAGGAAACACCAAAATATATAAAACTATGGCTAATAAATGATAGTCCTCAGTGAGAACATATGGGCACAGGGAGGGGAACATCAAACTCCGGGGCCTGTCGGGGAGCTGGGGTCTAGGGGAGGGATAGCATTAGGAGAAATACTTAATGTAGATGACGGGTTGATGGGTGCAGCAAACCACCACAGCACAAGTATACCCATATAACAAACCTGCACATTCTGCATATGTATCCCAGAACTCAAAGTATAATTTAAAAAAAATGATGTTCCTATGGATTCAGCATATCTTGAGAAGGGGCATGTTCAGAATGGCAAATTGTTCTTTCAGGGCAGTACAAGGTGGACAGCCTTGTTGAGCTGCTGGCCCATGGAGAGGCACTCTCAGGGTTTTCACGTGTCTCCCACTTGTTCTGTGGAACTTCAGTGCCTCCTTCCATCTGGACAGAGCTGTCCCTTGATGTCACCAGTAGGAGTCACCTCTAGAGGTGTATTAGTTTGCCAAGGCTGCTGAAACAAAGCACCACAAACTGAAATGGCTTAAACAATAGAATGTTATTCTCTCATGGTTCTGAAGGTTGGAAGTCCAAGATCAAGGTGTTGCCACTGTTGGTTTCTTTTGAGGGCTGTAAGGAAGAATCTGTTCCAGAGAAGAATCTGTTCCAGACTTCTCTCCCAGCTTCTGGTCATTTCCTGGCAATCTAGCACTCTTGGCTCATAGAAGTATCACCTCAATCTTTTCATCTTCACATGGTGTTTCTGTGTTTGTGTCTCTGTATCCAAAGTTCTTCCCTTTTTATGAGGTCATCACTTGAGTTAGATTAAGGCCCACTCTAATGACCTCAACTTAACTAATTATATGTGCAATGACCCTGTTTCCAAATAAGGTCACATTCTAAGGTACTAGAAGTTAGGACTTCAACATATGAATTTTGTGGGGACATGATACAACTCAACAGAGGCTGTTTATGGGAAGAAAGATGAGGAAAAAGGCTCTCAGAAAAGGTACCACCCCAGCTTCTTGTTTGCACTTTCTTCTAGCTGTCAAAGACTCAGGGAGTTGAGATTTGGAAAGCCTTCTCATTGCCAGTAGGCTTTACACTCACGGTCTCAATTACCCTCATGACAACTCACTGAAGTGGGTTTCTCTTATCTCTTACAGATGAGGTGAATGGGGAACAAGAAGGTCATGGCACTTGGCTAAGATCAGGCAATACGTCTCCTCTTCTTTCTTTAGTTAGTTTTGTCTTTCATGTCACTGGTGGGTCTCTGTCCAAAAGAGCACAACAGAACAAAATAATTGTGCTCCATGAACCACACTTTGATCATGCAGATGGGAGAAAACTCTAGATCCAGGTAGGTCTTTATGAAATAGGAATCACCAAGAACTTACATACCAGACCATCATAGGCTTGATAAAAACCCCTTAACAAGAACTGAAGACTTTAACATTATTATAGTTAATCATGTCTTGAATAATCATGGAATATTTGAGCTTACCCCACTAATGGTCCCATCCAGCAGTTCTGGACCATAGGGAGCTTTCAGACCTTCTGCTGCCTGCTCTCCAGGTGATTCTGACTTAGAACCAGGAGTGAGAATTCTGATCAAATCCAACTCTACCATAAAGGAAAGGAAGCCAAGTGACATTAAGCAAAGAAATTCTATGAGGACTAGGGCACAGCTCCCCCAAAGCCTATGTCAGTATTAGTTCCTCGGAAATAATACTACCATGATTTCCTATTTCCAGAAACCTTAGTGCTGCCACTAAATGGTTACCTTCTTCATATACATTCATATGTCTGATTACTTCTTTGGCACAACCCTGGAGGGGGAACCTTGTATCAATGAACAGAAATTATAAACAGGAAGAACTCAGCCTGATAGAATAAAGGATGTCCTGCTATCTAAAGGTGGAACGGGCTTTGAATGAGCATCCGACCTCATCACTGAAGGCGATTTAAGTTCAAGATGCGTGGTGAGTTGTCAGCAATCTTGGCTTACAGGGAGGGCTGGATTAAATGACTCTAAGGTCCCTTTCAAACTTGAGACTATACAAGATCCTATCCCATTTAGAAACTGATTTTGATCATGGCGAGGGATTCAGATTGTGTGTTTCCTCCTAGGAGTCTCAGGACGGAAGGGCCATGGAAGTCTGGGGGCCATTTGCGGAGGAGTGGATGGTTCCTGTAACCTGAATTGACCTGCACTCCAGGGACCAAGTTGTGTCTTTGTTTTTTTGTTGGTTTGTGTGTTCTTTTTTTCCTAACGTACAGGCTTACAGTTTCATATATATCATTTTCTGATAGTGAGGCTATAACCTCATATCCCATCATTTCTACCTGGTGCACCCTATTCTTCAGTCACATGGAGAAGCTCACCATTTCCCAAACCTGGGAGGCTTCAGTGTCTTTGAAAACACCAAGACCCCTGCCTAGCAAGTCTCTTTGCTCCATTTACCCTCCCTTCAGTCCCTCTCTTCTTCCAGACTGTGAATTTCTTCAGCCTGAGCAGCTGTGAGCATCTGTACAAGTTTGTCGAGTGACGAAGTAAAGGAGTGAGCGCCTGATTACCGGTTCCTGTTGGTCCCTGCTTTCTCTGAGGCTGTTCTACTGGTGCAGTCTAGCAAATAGCCACAAGGTGGCAGGGTAGACTAAGTCGTGAAGGCTGCAGGTGCCACTTTTTCTGGCTCCAGGGAAGTAGGAAGGTATAAATGGGACCTGTGCTATTTTTTGAGTTGATTTCCTATGCCTTTGTACCTATTCTCTAAATCCTTTTCGTCATCTCAGCAGAGCCATTCAACAGAATTGACTGGGGGGCTCTGGCCCCCAAATCTTTCTTTCGGAGATCTACTTGAATGTGTGTAAAATTCCACTCTGAATCATTCCTTTGGGGATCAAGAATTTCCAGTTCTTCTTGAAAATGTAAGGGGTTATATCTCAATTCTTGGGCAAAAGAGGTCAATTCCTAGTAGAACTGTGGAGAGAGGCAGGGGTTTATGATATGACACTAATCTAGTGTCTAGTATAACAAAACTTTACAAATCACAAAAGCCTTTCATCTCCAAGGGTTCACTTAATTCTCACCACAGTCTCGCCGGTTAAGGAAGCAAGATATCCCATTTGGCAGATGACAAAACTGAGGTTCGGAGAGGAGGGCCTAAGAACATCTGGCAAGTGGGTGAGGGCTGGGAACAGACCATTTGCCTTCTGACTTGCTGTCAGACACTCAGCTAGCACAGGCAGTAACTTTGTGTGTCAGTGGGTGAATTAACAAAAAGGTACACCTATCTTTGTGAGGCAGGAGAATAGGGTCTGGAGACAGAGAACCTAAGGCCAATTTGCACTGGTTTCCTAGAACTGAATGAAAAGGAAAATCCTGGACCGGGCGTGGTGGCTCAAGCCTGTAATCCCAGCACTTTGGGAGCCCGAGAAGGGCGGATCACGAGGTCAGGAGATCGAGACCATCCTGGCTAACACGGTGAAACACCGTCTCTACTAAAAAAAATACAAAACACTAGCCGGGCGAGGTGGCGGGCGCCTGTAGTCCCAGCTACTCGGGAGGCTGAGGCAAGAGAATGGCGTGAACCTGGGAGGCGGAGCCTGCAGGGAGCTGAGATCCGGCCACTGCACTCCAGCCTGGGCCACAGAGACTCCATCTCAAAAAACAAAAAAACAAAAAAACAAAAAAACAAAAAAACAAAAAAAAAAAAAAGGAAAACCCCCCCACCTCTTCACACCCAAATAACAAAAGGATCAGAGGCTACTCCCTTTGCAACCTGCTCCCCCAACCCCTCCTGCTTTTCTGCCTTGCAGATTAAAAATGAAAGTACGTCTGATTGGTCTCCTCCTGCAACCAATCAGACTGATTGTAGGCCTACTCTTCACTTGCATAGGAGTGTAACTTTGTAACTTCACTTCAGCCTCCGATTGGTCACCTCCCATGACCAATCAGATTGATTGTGAGCCACTACTTCATTTACATAGGGTGTGAATCAAGTAACCAATGGGAAGCCTCTAGAGGGGTATTTAAAGCCCAGAAAATTCTGTAACCAGCGTTCCTGAGGTGCTTGCTCAAGTCCACTGCCGCTTTGTGGAGTATACTTTCGTTTCAATAAATCTATGCTCTCTTTGCTTTATTCTTTCATAACTTTGTATGTTTTGTCCATTTCTTTGTTCAAAATGCCAAGAACCTGGACACCCTTCTCTGGTAACGTTTAGTCTGTCCCTGAGCACAGCTTTTTCAACTCACAACAGTGTAAGAAGAAAATTTAGGCTTTTAGGGTTGGTATTCTCTTAGGGTCGAAATTGTAAATTCTGGGCGTGGACAGAGAGGAAGCCACTGGGACATGCCATGGCGCTCACCACCTGCATCACAGTGTAGGCCGGTGTCCCTGGACGGCTGGTGCCTAGGCTGTGGGCTGGGTGCATCTCAATCCCCTCCCTGTTCCCCTTCAGTACTGAAGGCCTGAGTACTGAGGCATTGTGTACTGAGTACTGAGCATTGTTCTTCTGATGACACTCAATGACTCTGGGTAGTTGTGGGTGGGAGACAGCATCAAATCTCTGCTGTCCTAGGCCCTGCCACAGTAAGACCCAGAGCAAACAGCTTTCGCCTTGACTGAAGACCAGGCTCTGCATTTGACCAGCTACCGTGCCTGGGCCTCAGCTTCTGACTGCAAATGCGAAGACTATATAGGATAATCTTCAAGACTCCTTTTGGAAACAGTGACAAGGACTTTTCTGGTCAAAGTAACTGAGTGATGGAGGTAGGAGATTGCTGAGATTGCTCTCACTCGGGGCGTTCTGGGAATATAAACCATTCGTTGAGGCCACAGAGTTCTAATTGCTGGGGGTCAGTCCATTCTCATCTATTGTTCCCAAGTTTTCCTGCATCCACGAGACCAACATGCATGGATTCGGGACTTAGGGTTTTCTTATTCATACCTCCCGATATTTTCACAATTCGAAAGGAGCGAACAAAATGACACTAGTTATCAGAAATTCTAATTCATTTTTCAACTCACAAAGGGCTCAAAGTTCCTCTACGTGTAACAATATGGAACTTGGCTGAGATACACTTTGTCTTTTTAAAAATTGTATCTATTGTTCTGAATTTAATTTCAAAATTAATATGTGTTAAATATACATAAAAACTTGAAAAACAGCTATGACAAAACGTAACATTTATTATTCACCATATGCCAGGATAATTTAGAAGTTTTTTAAATTTTTAAATAGCTATGGATTCACAAAAAGTTACAAAAAATAGTGTCGAGAGGTCCTGTGTACCCTTCTCCAAGTTTCCCTCAATGGTAAGGTCTTACCTAACAGTAGCACAATATCCAAACCAGGAAGTTGACACAGTGGGTATAATCCACAGACCTTATTCAGACTTAACTCGTTTTACATGCACTCGTGTGTATGTGTATGTGCGTATGTGTGCGTGTGTGTTTCTATGCAATTTTGTTGGATTTGTAGATTCACATAGGCACCACCCCAATCAAGATATACAACGGTACTATCACACCGAAGACAATTTGTGCTACCTTTTTATCGTCATCCTGTTTCCCTCCCTTCATCTCTAACCTTTGGCAACCTCTGATCTGTTCTCTACCTCTATAACTTTGTCTTTTTGAGAATGTTCTATAAATGGAATGTATAATGTAAGTAGAAAAATAATATTAAATAACATTTATTGAGCACTCACTATGTGCCAAGAACTGTTTTTGGTTCTGTGCAAGTATGAGCTTATTTGATCCTCTCCGGAACCCACTGCAATAGTAATAGTCTTTTATTTTTCTTACCTTACAGATGTGGAGACTGAGATCATCACCCAATTTTATGCAGCCAGTCATTGGCAGAGCTGAGAGGAAAATCTAGATCTGGCTCTAGAGTCTGAGGTTGTAATTAACATATTATCTCTCTAAATTGATTCAGCATAAACGTTTAAAAATTAAATACAGAAAATCGTAATTAAGAAAGATCAACAGTTGCCTTAGAAAACTTCAATGTATTGGTGCCATACAGACCACATTCTCTAAGAACAGTGCTGTTAAGTTAGAAATCAATAATGAAAAGGGAACTGGAAAAATTCCACTTGTTTATACATTTTTAAAAAAATTCCCTCGAAACAACTCATGGGTCAAACAAGGAAAGGTGAGAGTTTCCTTCTAACAGAAGAGCAGTGGGTTCCCTAAAGGCATAGTGCACGGTGCAGGTGTCGATTGCTTCAAGGCTGAAAAAAAAATAAAGGTAATACTATCTCTGCCCCAGACTGAATCCATGAGGGCAGGGACCATGTTTCAGTCATACCAGTAGCCTCAGAGCCTCACCTGGCAAGGTGTTAATAGATGCTTACCGAATGCATTTAAAAATAGACTCCCCTGGACACCGCCTATATTCCTTGGATCCTAAAGTGCAGACCAAGCTGGAAGACTCTTTGAGCCATTGGAAGCAAAAGCACACCAAAACCAGGATAGAGATGCACAGAGACAGCAAAAGGGGTGGCTACGCGTATTAGGAGCAGTGAGCGCACATTGCTTCACATGGTGCCTTTAGACATCCAAAATCGCAGCAGAGAATGGGGTTTTAGAGGTCAGCACCTTTGGAATTTCTAA